AGGGAGACAAGTTACAAACCTATTTTTTAATGTATTGAATGGTATCCTTTGCTTAGCCCAGGGAGCAACTCCAGGAGGGCCTGCTAATTCAAGACCACTGTCGACCTCCTGCATCCACGCTGGAGGAGGGGAAAAGGCTGACAAACTCTCTTCTGTGCTGCTTTTGTTTTATTGTATTAGGCTCATAAAAGCACTTTCAGGGCCCATCTTTCTTCGGCAGAAAGGGAAGGCGATGGGGAAATGGGGAAGAGGAGGACATGGCAAAAAAGACAGGCGGAGCTCTAGCTCCATTTGTTTTCGGTGTCTGTTGATTAATAGGTTTTAAGGTGAATGGTGAGCTCCCATTCCTCCTCTGCTACTCATAGTGGAGGAAGGGGAGGGGGCTTGGGGGTCCGAGGTGCAAGTGCCTGATCAGGCCTCCCTTGCCACGTTACCGGTTGTGAGTGGTTGGGGGGTGCCCGGCGGGCGGCAGCCCATCCCTGCTTCGTGAGCAGGACTTGAGGCTTTAAGTACACTGAAAAGGTCGCCCCGGGTCGCGGAAGGGGGTCCCTCCCTGGCTGCGGCCACAGGAGCTGTGCTGGCGGCCGTGAGAGTTCCAGGCTGTGCTGGGGCAGGAGCATCCCACCGGCTCTGCCCGTGGCTGCTCGGCTGGGCATGCATCGGAGTGGAGTCTCCCACCAGCCGTTCATCTGAGGCTGAAGGCTTTGGCCGCTGCGATGCTGCAACGATGGCTTGTTTTTGGCCTGAGTGGCTTTTTTTGCAGACCTGCTTTTGCTGAAACCACGTTATCCCAGGGCAAATCCTCTGGCCTCTCTGGCATGTTTTCCTCTGACTTTGAGTTGATACCATGTTTTTATTACCAAAGCCAAACGAGCTATGAATTTGCAAACAGAAATTGCAGTAACAAACTCTTCCTATTTAAAGGTTGGTTTCTGTTTGTGTGCTCAACAATACAATGTTTCATCCCATGCAAGTCTTACGTTGCTTTCAGAGACTTAGGAACTATTGATTCATACAGCATGTATTAACTTCTTCAATAAATGGGGAGTATTCATCAGTGGGGTGTATTAAATAGGGCTGTATACGCATAGAAGTATCTTTCATCCTGTTAATGAAATGTCCTTACCATGCAACAAAGACTAACACACAGCAATTTATACACACAATCCCCTGCAATTTAAATCTGAAGTTCAGATTTTTTTTTTTTGTTCCCTAAAGGCACCTATCGGAACTTAGGCTAAATGGGTCTCAGTATCCCTCTCAAGCATATATCAGTCCAAAATTGGTTGTGGGTTTTTTGGTTTTGTTTTTTTTTTTTTTCATTCCAGAGCTCCATTATTGTTTAAAGTCATCTGTGTTTAAGCACTCCCAGAAGCATTTCAAATTCATATAGAGAGATTTAGTAGTTGAGTCCCTATGGGGACAATTTCCTTTGGTTTGCTTCAGGCAGGGGTTATCAAGAAAAGCAAACTTCTGTTGTTTTTTTGCAATTCTTTACTGTGGCCTCTAACCCAGCGTATGAGACCCCAGCTTTCACTGGAGAGGAGTGATTTATCAGCAGATGACTTGGTACTTTGTAGATGCTGGGATTTCTCTCCAGAAATCTCCACTTATTCCCATCGTATTACCGCATGCCCTGATGCTAATCTGTGCATACCAGTGCAGCTCCTCTTTCCGTGTCTGACGTAGCCATAAATGGAGTTCTTCAAGTTGTCAGAGAAATTCCTGCATCTCACAATGGCTTTTAGCTTAAAACTACCCTTGATAAAGTACTGGCAAATGTATATTGGAGAAGGGCCTTTTGCAGGGGGATGGCTAAGGTCATCTAATAGGTGTCTCCTATTGATGGTTTCTGCGGTTTACCTTTCATTGCCAGTGGATGGGGTTAGGACCACACTTGTTACTCAGGCAGAGCTCCCATTGAACTTCAAAGGAAGATGCGTGTGCGGGATTAATCCTGCTCTTTCCCAGCTAGTCCTTTCTTTTTCTCTTTTCCAAGGAAGCTTAGTTAACTTCAGGAACGTAGCATATTGTGCATGATTAGCTTGGCTTGTGAATTCTGCGTGCTATTCTGAGCAGAGTTACGGTCCCTTTTCCCACTGTGTGATAAATAGTGCAAAACAGAATACGAACCTAGCCCAGGGTAGTGGTACAGATGCAGACTGATTTGCAGGGGCAGTGGATCACACTCCTTTGTCCCGGAGGGCTTATTTTTGAGCATGTAGATGACAGTTTCCCCTTTTCCCCTGGTACATTATCCCCACACTCACACCTCTGCTCCAGCATCATCAGAGTGGCAAAAAAGTATTCCAACCTTACATCCAGTACCTTTATATGAATTGTCTGTTTGACTGCAGGGCAGTCACCCGAATAAAAATGACTTACCTGCGGAAAAGTTCACAGACTAAGGTTCAAACTCTTGGCTGTTGATTTTTTTTTTTTTTTTCCTTTTGCTTTTTTATTTTTCTCTGAAAAGTATTAAGTAAAACACATAATAATTTAGCACTCGGGCCGTTTTGTGGAGATATTGCGGAGGGGGGGGGTTGGTATATCAAAGCAGTGGGTGGTAGTTTCCCACAGTTTACATGTAACCCCCTATGGTATATCTGGCTTTGGTGATACAGGCATGTAAGTCCAGCTTTCCTCTCATGTGTTGTTTCTTGTTTGTCGGCTTAAGTCTGACCCGCTAATGTTATTCTGTCACTTACTTATTTTTTTAACTAACCAGTTCCAGTTTCTGTGAAAATAAGCTCTCCATGGAAGACAACCCTCAACGTCTGTCGGGATCTGAGTGAGGGTTTTTTGCAGTGATGTGAAGGTAGAGGTGGGAGAGCACAGAGCTATAGCAGCTACCAGCCACACTGTGGGTCACCTAATAGCACAAGTTCACACAGTTCTTGGCCAGCAAAAATCCCTCTTATTGGGGATGATTGTTTTTTGTGAACCAGATCAAGTGGTCATTTGGCATATAATGTCACGTGTTGTTGAGTAGATGCCTGCTAGTTTGTATGGCGTGTAATATGATGAGTTACGTGAAGCCCTTGCTAAACCTTTCAGATACTTTCAGACTGCTTAGGTTGGCTCACTTGGAAGAGAACGGATTTTGGGTTAGAGCATCTCCTTTGGCTTTTTGAATTAAGGGGCTGAATCCCCATAGCTCCTCTGATGTGAAACCATTATGGATCTGTGCGGCCAAAAGTTGTCCTTGGTTGTACAGCTGGCAGAAGACCTGACCTACAGTCCAGCCGACACAACGTGCTGTAATGCATAGTGTTGGCTGTTGTGACCACGCTCCGTGCTGCGTGGTGGCCACTTGACGTGGGACTCTCCTGCACCACGTGTGTGTTATTAGAGGGGAATCATTCCGTGTAAGGGCTGCAAAAAGAAATAAACACGGTAAAAGTTGTGGGAAGCATAAGCACTGCTCTTTGGCTTGCTTCTCTTGGATGCACACTTTTTTTTTGCATGTTATCAAAAAGGCTGGAAGAGCCGACGGTGAAGTTCTGCTGTGTCTTGACCAAAGGGTGATGGAGGGACTTCTTGTTTGGGGGAAGACTGATGTTTCTTTTCCTTCTAGCTCTCTAGCTCTCAGTCTGTCTTCTCTCTTCCTTCCCCCCAGTCAAGAAACTCATTCCCAAAGAATAAGTGAATTATTTTTGAAATGCTTTTAAGGGAAGCTCGGAGTGTTCGAACCAAGATCAGATAATAACTTGTCTAAAGTGGCGTGGCAAGGGCACGTGTGTTTGGGGGTGCTGGGGAGGGAGCGGTGGGGTCGGAGCCGTCCTGAGGCAGGATGGTGAGCAGGAGAGCGCTGGCAGACCTTGAACGGCAGTGGCGCTATCGGGGGCCGCCGTGGTATCACTACTTTATTTTAATGTGATTCCTTTTACTTGATGTTAATGCAAATTGTTCCTTACTTAAAGTAATAAAAGGAAATGAAGACACATTCTAAAATGAAACCTGACTCTAATCCATTCATCATCTAATACCAGCCTCTTTATCTTTGCTGGTACCTAATCTGGTTAAATGTCCCTGTTGTAGGATTTTAGTGAAAATCCTCTATGGGGAATAGGGTTTTTTGCAATTGGATTACTCGCAGTAAATGGTCCAGCAGTTCGCTTGTTTCAGCTTAATTTTTTCTTTGTGATCTTGTAAGGGTAAGTTACAGTTCAGCCTGCCTTTTCCTTTCATTCATTCACTCCTTTTTTTTTTTTATTGTTGTTGTTAAGAAAAAGATCTTTTTTTTTTTTTTCCCTCCCCAGAGCTAGGAGTGTGACAGGGAAAACCTCATGATATCTGCGTGATTATTCCCCCCACAAGAGTGTTAATTTCAATGGCTTTATCTGTGGTTTTGCCATTATTTATATAACTGAATATTTTAGTAGCCTAATTCATCAGTATCCAGTTTCCATTTATTAGCGCTCTCTGATGAATTGATAATTAATCAGCTCTTCTAAAAAATATATATATATAAAATATGCAGGTGATAGCTTGTCAGCTTAATGCTTGCTGATGAAGGGAATACTCTAGCACTACAAAGGCTTTTTATCTGGAGTATTTGCAATGAACAGTAAAATGCAGAACTGAAAGTGAGGACAGGAAGGGGAAAGGAAAAGACCTACAGGTCAGTGAGTATTTGGGTCTCGTGCTAATTAAATGGGGGACTCTGTCAGCCCCTCACTGAGGAGTCTGCCTGCATCTTGGAGGTGAAGCACAAGATGATAAAATAAAAAGGAAAAATTATAAAGAATCGCTGTTGCTCCATACAGGAGCATGACAGGTCAGAAAGATTAAAGAAACTCAAGAGCAGAGAAAGTGTGTGAGGAGGTTTTAAGCAAGAGGGTGGGAAAACTGCAAGGGTGACGCCAAGAAGGGATCTGGAAAAGTCTGAGGACCATGTTGAAATCCTGGGTACTCAGGTTTCTGTATGTCGTGCCTCGTGCTGCAGTGGGGAGTACCTGGCACTCCTCTAACGCCACTGACCTTTTTTCTCTTGACAGTCTAACAAAGTGCCAGTTGTGCAGCACCCACACCATGTACACCCTCTTACGCCGCTTATCACGTACAGCAACGAGCACTTCACACCGGGAAACCCTCCTCCACACTTACCAGCCGACGTAGATCCCAAAACAGGTAGGTGGGAAATAGTTCGGGTTTTTTTGGGTGGGTGGGTGGATCTTTCCATTTTGCGTATTAGGGGGAAGGAGTGTGGGAGGAAGGATTTCCCATGTTGGAGCACCAAAGGGGGCATGTAAAATGTCAAACGCATGCAAGAACCCAGACAAAATAGTTTCTTTTTAAGCCAATTAGGCTTCAGAAGGAAACCTACTGGGTGAATTTTCATAAAGCTTCTTCAGGGTGACACCAGAGTTGCATGTGTGGGGTCGTTTGCAGCTGTGTTTCATTGCAAGCATGATACCCCACCTAGTAGTTCGATCTACCAAGTGCTTGGTTTGCATGCACGACCCAGAGAGTTAAACATGTACGTTCTGTGATCTGCACTTACAAAATTGCAGCTGGAATTTTAAAGGTGGTGGGTCATGACCTGTTTCAAAATGAATCTCTTTTAATTCCCCAAATCCCATTGTTTCTGTGTCAGGAGTTCAGCCATTTTTCTCCTATAATGTTGAATTTTCATCCACTCTAACTACTTAGCTCCAGCTCTACACTTGCAACTCTTTTCCCCAATGTAAGTCTACCCAACTCTCAGTTCAGCCTGAAGGGCAGTCGTCTTGAATATAGAGCACCGCGTAAAACCCTGACCAGATTTATTGGTGTTAGAGAGTAGAATTTACATGTTATTCTAACTTTTTAAGAGTCCCTGTTTAACCTGAGGGCCCAGAGAAGTCAAATAGTGTCAATCTTCTTTCTTTGGGCTGCATTGAGTTCATAGTGACAGTGGTTTTGTTTTTGTTAATCCAAATCCCAGCTAGTTAATTGGAAAGTACATCAGAAACTGAATTCATGTCAAAGGAATGGCTCCGTCAGCCCTAACGTGTGCAGATAATTTATCTAAACTCGAGCCCTTGAATGAGGCTGTGCATTAGCTGGTTTTCACTCCCTGCACTTCAACTGGGGCCCCCTTTTACTTGTGCTTAATGCTAACTTCACATGGCTTAAAAGGAATCCATCTCGCCATCCCTGGGTATTGCAAGTGAATGGCATAGTCAACCTCTCATTTAAATAATGGTAGTACAGGGAATAGCTTTTAAATGGTTATCGTAAAACATATGATTAACGTCTGTAGACTGTTTACTTTTCTTCTGTGAACATTCTTTCAAGTGTGCGAATAGTTCGCTGGATGGTTAAAGCCCAGTTAATCTGTTTGGGTTTTGTAATGGAGAAAAAGCAATGTCTGCATGAAAATGTCACACAAGGAGATTTAATTTAGAGATTAAAAGCTTCCTGAGTGACTTAAAAAAATAGTTTTTAGCCATGAATACAGTACCCCTTCCTTTTAATGCTCTCTGGTTTAATTTTACTTCTGCTGTGTAATTGTGCTCTGCCTTGTTAATTGAAAGACCCAGTCTTGTAACCCTTACTCCTCTGAGTAATTCCTACTTGCTCTTAAGGTAGGGAGTGTTAAGATTTAAGGCTTGTGTATGGAGCTGATTTCTGCTCTCCGAGTAGGAACTGCACCGGTTTCAGAGAGGACGGATGGGCTCTCTGTCCTTCCCTGCACACCTTCAACATCTGCCCCCGTTTTACCAAGCATTTCCAGGGGCTGTCACCTCCACTCCTAGGTTTTGGGAAAGGTTTCCTAGGTTTGCTCAAAAGCAAACGTCATTTGCAATTACAGTGACTTTGTAACTCGTTTTGGAGGTTACTTTGGAATAACGCCATGCTATTGAGTACCCAGTCAACGTATCGGTAGGGCCTGTGCTCTTTTGGTGACTTTGAGACTAAAATAACCATGAAGTTGATACAGGGACCATCTTTCTGTTTAGCGTTTAAGACAGCACCTAGAACAGCGTCACACCAAAACTATAGCTAAGACTCCTAAATTCTCATCCTAAATAACAAAATAATTACCTCTGATTGGAGAGGTGACTGAGGGAGCGAATCACGTCAATTTTTCTGGTTGAATCTCATTTAATAAGATGCCAAGAGGCTCGCTTTATAAAATAAGACTGTGAAACAGCCTTTGGAAACTCAAAGTGAAGCCATGAGTATTGTAATAAAAATGAATATATAGCAATTTAGAAACATATGTGCTTTTTCCTTATATTTTATTTATTTCCATGTCTCAGTACTAACGCTGCTTTATGTTCCTCTTCCATAGGAATTCCAAGGCCTCCACATCCTCCAGATATATCTCCTTATTATCCCTTATCACCAGGCACTGTAGGACAAATCCCCCATCCGCTAGGATGGTTAGTACCACAGTAAGGAGTTCCATTTTTTTAATTTCCTTTTTCTTTTTTGATGTGTAAAATTTATGTTAAAAATCGTGTATGTGTGTGTGTGTGCGCATATGTGTGTGCATTGAGATAAGTCTGTTTGCCAATTGCCACTTCATTGAGTGGTTATGAATTTACCCACCTCACGAAGATTAATTAAAACTTATGCCAGGTCGTGTGGTCCTAAACAAACAGGAGCAGTTGGACACAGCTTTGCATGTCATCTCAACCAGCTGATGGCTCGTGAAACATGAATTTTTAAATCCTTCTGCAGAAACATCCTTTTCTTGTTAATGCCCTTACACTGCACCATGTGGGTTTTTCTCAGATTTGGTTTTCTTGGGGCTCAGAGCAGTTCTCATGGACTCTTTTTTACCAGGGCCATCCTCACTATAAGTGTGCAATTTTAAATTTCATTGGCCTTCCCCATTGAAACCCCTTTCGTTTTTCTTGTGAAACACTAGAGCTTTACATCGGCCAGTGAGCAGCATTCCTGGTCGAGACGTGGCTGGGCAGTTGGCATCTGAGGAATGGAATTTTCTTGCAAACAAGAAAGGGGAATTAGTTTACTTTAAAATTGGCTAAGAAAAAAGCCGTGGAAAGTTAGTTTGGGGTTTTGTTTTCTTTTCAGCTCCTTATATCCCACTTGCAGAGCCTTGTTGGGTATGAGGTTCCCTCCACTAATTGAGTCCTTGTTTTCTTTTTTTTTCTTATGTTGCTGTCTCTGCAATGGGTTTTTAATGCACTTAAGCACTGCATAGCCTTTTTTACAGTATATTTGATTTAAATACTTATAAAATACATTTGTATTGCTGGATACAACGGTTCTCTGCATTATAAATCAAGACTATTACCCTATTTTTCTCACATAACAGGCCTCATCAATTTTGGGGAGATCATATTTCTTTAGAAATTAGTTGCCCAAAGCTAGAAATAGTTTGTTCCTGCTCGAGGTTGTTTGGCCAGCTGTGCTAAAATACCTCTTCACAAGTTTGCCCTCCATAAGGAAGTGGAGCTCACACCCCGTAGGAGAGCAGGGCAGAGCAGGGGGTCCCCACACACACCCAGGTCTCGGGCAGGGAGGAGGATTGGCGTCAAAGGCTTTGGGGGCCTTTCTCAAGCACAGAAGTGTGGATGCAGGAGAGCTGGAGCTCGGACCTCAGCCACAGCAGCTCACTTCTGGCCGCTTTGCAGGCTGCCCTTCCTTGCAGGGTGGTCATGCAACTTGTTTGGGTAGAGGCTCTCCCACCCTGCGGGCGAAGCATGTCCATCAGCTCTCTGCAGAAAGCCGTTTTTCCAGAAGAGCACAGCACGAGCAGAAGAAAAACCCAGAGCGTTGCTCCCTGAAACCTTAAATTCCTCCTCATTTGTGGTGATTTACTTTTTACGTAGGACACCCTGAATGCTGGTAGAATGGATGTCAGCTCCTTTCCTTCTTCTTTCTTGGTTGCAGGGCCTAGCTGCAGTACAGCCGTCTCATGCTCCTCTGTTGCAACTGTTTAGCTCAAGTTTGCACACTAACAGCCTCAGCATTTAAAACAAATATACTCAGCTAATGCCAAAAGTCAGTAACATTAAAGACATGAGAGCGCAGGGAAGAAATTTCTCACTGTCATTGACCTGTGCCTCATTGCTCATCTGTGTCTCAAAGCCTTACATCTTTATGTGTGCAGACACAGGTTTGTCCTCCTTGAACCTCATGTCATGGCTGCCAAGCCACACGAATGTTGCCACATGTGGCCCGTTTCACCAGGCAGGTGCTGATGGCCACCTCTGTCACAGGAAGACTCTGTCATCACCGCTGATTTATAACAAGTCAACACCCATGGCGTACTTGTGTACCCACAGCTCTTACAGCTTCTCCAAGTGGTTTTTGTTGAGGGGTGATACCATCACATTTGCTTTTGCTCTAGGAGAGTAGCATGGCCAACTTTGCAGAAGTAACCCAAGGTTTTTATTTCCCCTCTTGTTGCCACTTGTTCTTCACCATCAACTTTCCAACCCATCTATCCTCAACTGGCCTGCATGTCTCTAGCATAGTAACCCCCCAGAAAGCATCCTGCCCAGTCAGATGATGTAGTTGAAGGACAGATGAAAAGAACTAGCCAGCACAGACAAACCTCAATCAGAAAAAGTTGTGTGTCTTTCATGAGGATGCTGTTTTGCATGTTGCTGTATTTTTTAATTATTGTAATGAGGTGTGATTGTCTATTGGTTACCCACAATACTTCTTGGGGACTCTCCCCCGGTAACTCTTGTCAACACTTGTTAATCTGACAAAAGGCTACAAATTAAGCTCTGTTAATTTAATGTTTTCTCACCGAGATCTAAATACCGAAAGAGGCCCAAAGCGCAACTGAAGTCCTTTGATTCACTGTACTTTATTTTGGTATAAATTTACATTCATTATTGTTTTCCTTTGGATGTGTAGCCCTCAATTAGTGTGATGGCTCCATTAAAGCAAGCGAGACTTCGCCTTTAATTATTACAACAAAACACCTAGTTTCAGCTTGGGGAGAGGGTCTCTATTGACATAAGCAGAGGTTATAAAATTTAATTAGCCATTCCTATCAGATTTATGGCATTCAAATTGTTCTGTGTTTCTTTCCTTTGATCCTTGCTGTACAATCCCCAAGATTTTTGTTCTGATCAAATGAGAATAAAGCTTACTGTGCAGAGAGAAGTTTTTTGTTGATCTTTTTTTTTTAAACCCTTTTGTCTTTCTCTCATTCTCTTTCCCGTCTTTTTTGCCAGGCAAGGTCAGCCAGTGTACCCAATCACGACAGGGGGTTTCCGCCACCCTTACCCAACAGCTCTGACCGTCAATGCTTCCATGTCAAGGTGAGTTCAAATGCTGAGGTCCTGAATTGAGAGCAAATGTAACTCCTCCTGCTGCCCTCTCTAGAGGAGGGCATTTCATCTAGGAAGCGTATTTCTGACAGCACTTCAGTTAAACAGTCATCCTTAGTTTTTTCGTGGGGCAGAGGTGGAGAGGATGAGGGGTACCTTCCCATCTGAGGAGAAGAGGGTGTCCTAGCACTGTCATTGGGCTTTAAGAATTTGGTTTTGAGAGAGAGGTGGAGGAGCAGGAAGTCATCTTTAAAAGCCAAACTAAATGAAAAAGCTGGGAGAATGTGATCTTGAAAAAGCAAGGAGGAGAAGTTTTGCTTTCTCAGTGGCTATCACCCAGAGCAGCGCTCTGTGTGCAAGAGGGGAGTTTCAGGAGGGAGGAGGGCTGCTCTTCAAGCAGAGTTGGGAGGAAGGTTATTGCACTATGTTTTCCCCGACCAAAGCTCCAAATACTGATAGTCAACATAAAAGGGCCTGCCTGACCCTCTAAAGCTTTAGAAGTATATATTTCTCCCCCTCCCTACCTCCAATTAATTCCATCTAATTTTCCAGGGGCTGCTAGTTTTATTTACAAACTGGTTGGCAGCACTATGTTTAAGTAATCACTAATTGCTCCTAATGATAGTTTTATTTTCTGTTCATCTGATTTTCAGTCTGGTTAATTAAATCGGTGGAGGTTTAGACTTTCCTGATGGGCTGAAACAGCTAATCCATTTTGATGATGGCACATAATTAAATTAGCATGCATTACATAGCAAGGTTCCACGTCTCTTCCCTGCTCTGTCCCTTCCTCTCCATCTCTGCAGTTTAATATGTGAAGGTTGGTGTATAGAGGATTTGGTGGCATCATGGCAGTGGCAGAGGGAGGGGGGTGGGGGGCGGGGGGGGGGGGGGGGAACACACCTCATTGAGAAATGGAAACCTGTAACTAGAGCTCATGAGTGAATGGGTAGGGAAATAGTGTGTTGTGTGCTTTAGATAAGTAGAGTAAAAGCAAAAAATGAAAATCTGCCCGAGTTGCTCCAGCAAATAGAGACAACTGGCAAATCAACTTTAAAAAAAAAAAAAAATAGACCCAGCACAGGGGAGAAGAAATCCTGGGTTGGGGAGAGAGCTGTAAATTTAAACAATGGTTCCCTCCCTCCATTTAATCTTTTTTAATATCTATAAAAGACTTGCAGGCATGGTGTGAGGCAAAGTAGAGCTTGATTTAGTTTAATTATTATTAGAGAGGCTAGTCATTGGAGGGAGGGGGGAGATGTGGAAGGGGGGAGGCTATATTCCCAAGATAGGCTTTATGAAAGGTATCTAGTTAAAAAGAGTACACAGCAAATTAAATACATTATTGTGGTAATGGGACGACAGAAGTAGAGGTCTATTATACTTATGGCAGTTACAGGAAATGTAGGCTCCTTGCCCTGTTCTAGCGCATCCTTTGATATTCATTCCATTCAGCAGCAGGGCCAGGACTTCTCAGAATTAAGTGATGGGTCATTATACTTTAAACACCATGGAGAAGCCTAGATTGGCAATTAAACAGCACTTGCTGACACTCGCTTGTGCCACCCTGTGACCCCCTTTAGATTGAGTTGTTGGAGCTCGGGGCCCTCAGCCTGCTAAATTGGTAGCAGGCACTTCTCCTGACGAGGGCTGGCTCTGAAATCTGCCGGCTTCAAAGGGAGCAAGATCATGTATAAACCATAATGTGGGTGCACCGTGGCTCAAAAAATAAGGCAGGAATAGATGAAATGTTACAAGTGCAAGGGGGAAATGAGAGAATAATGACAAATCTAATGCAACTCAAAGCGGAATTGTTGCACAGAAAAATGCATCCCACTGCTTGTGCATAAAATCAAGGCAGGCAGATGACATCCAGTTAACAGAAACATGTCAACAGTGAAGTAAAGTGAGAGTGAGTAAGAGAGAAGCCCCTGAGACAGCCAGGAACAAAAAATTAGTTGTCCTTAACAAGTTAAGACTCATCATTATATTCTGGCTTGGAGCCATAAAAGGAGACAGTGGTGTATAATGAGCTGCTTAGAATTTTTAGGGTGTTTATTGCAATTCATGGAATACTTGTCTAGAGAAAAAAATATGGGGGGATGTCTTAGGTGAAGGTGAGGGGTGTGCATACACACACACAGCCTTTCTTTTTGTCTCTGACATAAGCCCATACGCGCATACATGCTCAGGCGCACACACAGAATGATGAATAGATTTAAGATGTTTATCCTTTGTTTCAGCCCAGAAACTTCTCTCCTGGTTTCCCATACATGGGAACACCCTCTGGGCAGACCGTGCTCAGATACGTAGTTCGACGCACGTTTTCTCATGCCCGCCGTATCAGCTGGAGCGCCTGAGCTCAGCCATGGGACAGCCCTTGTCCTCAGTAGCCAGCGTAGTTGGGCGACGGGGCTGGTGTGCCCGGGGATGCCCACGCTTGCCTGCAGACATGCCGTTCATGGCTGGCCTCCGGGCAGCAGCCCCGCAGGGCCCTGGTACAAGCCTTGAGGTCGCTGTGTTGGCTCTGCCCAAACGTTGAAGTCAGGACAGACCCCCTCACCCCTCCATCCACATTTTTCCAGAGCCTTCCTTTAAAAGTAGTTCCCGTCTTTGCATTATGGTATAGACCTTTGGAGCATATAATGCTTCCCAACCCTGAATATTCCCTAAGCTTAGTAATTATAGTTCATTAGTTAGAGTGTGCTTATGAATAGTTTATAAAAGGTTAATGGGTGACTAATAGTGATTTTCATAAATGGTTTAGACTATTAAGGTAGTGTCTTCAGGTTGTTTTAACCATTTTTTCTCCGCTTGTAGCATCTCCCCACTCACTTTGTATGCATGCAACATGCTTATAACGTCTCTTGATCCTTCATTACCCCTCTATAATATGCCCTTAATGTAAATTGAGACAGAGTTAACTGACTGATGGGCAAACAGTGGACCCGCTATGAAAAAAAACTGCTGTGAGAGGAAATCAGGAAATAATTTAGCAGAATTACACCAGACAAACACTGCACAGCAGTTAAGTGGTGGCAGTGGAAAATACCTTCTGTAATTGAAATTTCAGGGGAAATTCACTTTTGCTGAATGTAATTACTGAAGTTGGAGTGTAGCCAGGAACTTAAAAATTAACACTCTTCCCCGACTCGTGTTGCCATGTGAGTGGATGTGTACATGGAAATAAGTAGGCAGTCAGACTTTGGGCTGAACCCTCACCCAGCCCACTGAAGTCCATGGGATTGTGAGAGCAACTTCGGGTTCTGGAGCATGTTTTTATAGCCCCAAACATAGGAAGGGGTGTGTAAGTCCAGCAGGCAGCCTTGTGTCTTGGAGGGAGAGAGATTCAGTGTGAAATAATGAATGGTCACTGGTAACGAACACAGAACTTCCTTGGGGAAACTGCCACCCTGAAAATAACTACTGAGCTGCAGCTGCCTGTTGATGAAGGCTGCTGTGTCTCTGAAGTTTAGAGCTCAGTGGGTAAAATCTCAGCCCAGCTGAAGTCAATGGAGGCTTCGCCATCCTCCAGGCTTTCACACAACACACGTATGTAGACTTCGCCTCCTCCGCTGCCCTTCCTCCCCATCTGGTCACTCTCTGATGTGCAAATACTTACTAACTTTCTCCTAAATGGTAATTGGGAAAACTTTTTTCCCATAATTAGGGGGGGAAGGTACCTTTTTTGCAGATTTTCTTCACGGTCCTCAATTTTTTATTAGCTGCAGGTACTTAAATCTTCATCAAAAATAAACGAATAAAATAACCCCCTATCTTTTGTTGAATTTGTTTCCTTTGAAAAACCTGATCGTACAACAATCCACCGTGTAGGCAGAGTTCATTTTGCAGTGCGTGTTAATTTTTCACCAGATTCTCATTTGAGAAGCAAGTCTATGACCCAGTTATCATGGCCACATCATGGGATGCTCTTCAGAAGCTTAACAAGCAACACCTTTTGTCCCCCATTAACTCCAGCTGTAATCAGTCTTTTGTGATATTTGGGAGCCCTTCTCCAGTGATGAGTCTAATCTTACTCAGGTCCACTCTCATACCCTTCTGTCCTTGTTTATCACTGCACTCAGCTCTTCCTTGCTGGTATATGCCCACTGCCCTTCCCACTGTGTCCTCACGTCAAACAAGCACAGCTCTTCCTGCCTGCTCTTTGAAGGCAGGCTTTTTGTTGCCATCTTCATCCTTCATTGTCCCGTTGTCACTGGCTCTTGTTCCAGTTTGAACCCTAGCTAGCCCCAGCAGCATAGTCCTCTCTTGAACACTGGGTCTTGCCTAGGACAGTCATTCGATAAGATGTGTATCAACTTTTTATCACTATGCTTATACCACTTTCAGTGAGGTCAGGGTTTTGCCATGGGTTTTATTTTCACCCATGTTTGTAAGTTGTTTTTTTTTAAAAAGCTCTTACTGTCAGTTTTTATTGTTTGCATTGTACTAACGCTGAAGGCCCCAGGCACTATGTGAACACACTTTACTTCTTTTTGTCCGGTCAAAATACATACACACCAAAATAAAGAGAGGGAGAACAGAAGAAAACTATAGAAAGGCGCAGTTTGTGTCTTGCTGATGGTGAGGCAATTCTGTGGCAGAAGTGGGACCAGGCCATCGGTCTCCTTGCAGCCTTGCCATTGTCTTCTGTCCTGACCTACCATGCACCAAAGCATTTCCCCAAATGTGCGTTTCTCTCCCAGCTACTTCTGTCAGAGAGTGGGGAAGGCGTTTTGACAATCCACTTGGAGATTTGTGTCCGTGAGTCTTTAGCAGACGTAGGAATAGCCATTTTGCTGCCCGTTCTCCTCTTCCCTTACCATCATGCCCTCCTCCTTTCCTTCTCTCCATGCCTTTGTTTGTGAGGAGCTGCAATTCTCTACAGTTCGAACAATTTCACATTCTCCCTGTCAGTCCCTGCTCTTCCCACCCCTGCCTTCAAAGACAAAATACTTCTGTCTAATGATCCTGAGTACTACCAGCTGATAGACAAAGATCCTCAGAGCTCGTAGTGGACAGTACCTCTTGTTCATGAAAGTACTACTGTGTCATCTTGTGAATGTAGGGAATGTCTAGGCAGTTTGAGGGGGGGGGTTAAGCTCAGTAATGGAATTTAGAAGGGGGGGTGGGGAGGAAAGAAATCCCATTATATTTCTGATATTTGTACACAATCTACTTATCCATGGTATATTACCCCATTTTAAATCCTGTTTGATAGAAAAAATCACTGTATATTGATGATAGAAGAAATAATTATTTATCCCATTGTTTGTTGTATATTCTTGGGGTATTTTATTTGGACCAAGGTGGTTCAAAATCTGGGATGAGAGTAGGGATTTTCAATAATAAAAAAACCTTGTTGTATGCCAGATCACTTTAGCTTTGGAATCTTGGGAGAAGTTATTTCTGAGCCAAAATTTTAGGCTAGATCCCATTCCCTGGAAACCTGTTGACTTCAGTGGGGGTTTTCTAAGGGAAAGGCAGTCAGTCATAGTGTGCTTTCCTTATTCACTGCAAAACCTTTCTGAGACTGTTGAGAAATAAGTAGTCATCAATCCTGCTTTTGAGAAGTTTGTTCATTTCAGTTAAAAAGTAAAAAGTCTGAATGATTGTGCCATGTTCATGCTGTGGCCCCAACTGAGCAACTAGATTCATGCAGAAGGATTGCACATCCCTCTGAATCCAGTTGCAGGACTGGGACCTGTCCATGTATATGACCATAAATCATAAAGCTGACAACATTTTTTCTCTTTAGAAAGGCTAGACTGTTATTTTGCATGAATTTAAGCCTTCCTAGGTTACCTTAATAGGTCAAAATTCACTTAATTTCACAGTCTTCCCACCTTCTGTTAGAGCAATGTGGCTCAGAGATTTATCAGACACAAATAAATATTTTCTTTTGCTCCATCAACAAAATGTCGCTAATGAGGCATCTATAAGGATTATCAAAAATACATCTAGATTGCATTGGGATTAATATTTTATTTTGCTGTCAATATGCAACAAAAGATGTCATCCCAAATTCACAACATGCTTCAGAACTATAAAAATTGATTCCTTGGTTGCCACAGATAATTTCTTAGCAAAGAAATGGACTGGTGGATTTTCTTGCAGGTAGCTGAAATTCCACTTTCATCCAAGTTCATCCAGTGGAATTTGCCTTATGTTAAAGAAGTTAAAAATCACGATGTCTTATGTCAGTAATGATAATGAAGGGGAAGATTGGCTTTAATGACATTAGAAGAGTCATTATGTTTAATTTATTGCTAATTAATGCTGCCAGCTTTCATATGCTTTGTCTAGCTGTCATGTGCTTGTTATATGCCTTTTTTTTTTTTAATGTGTGTACACATCCCTCCCCATTCATTCATTTTTATTCTGACGATTTACACAGCTTTCTCTCCTCTAGGTTTCCTCCACACATGGTCCCGCCTCACCATAGTTTACATACAACTGGAATCCCTCATCCGGCCATAGTCACACCAACAGTCAAACAGGAATCTTCCCAGAGCGACGTCGGCTCACTCCACAGCTCGTAAGTTCTTGCTTCCTGTGTCTTATTATTAGAACACCCAAAGCGTCATCTGTGCATGTGTGGCTTTTAAAAAGGCTTGGATTTGTAGGAATGTTTTTGCTGTAAAATATTTTTTTAAATTGCTTTTTCTGTTCTGTTCTGTTAATTGATTTGAACATGGTTTAACTACCAAAGTGTGTCAAAATAATGGTAACAATCTTTCAGAGTCATTCTGTGACATAGACAAGTAGTTATTAATTTCATCCATTTTAATAAGGAAGTGGAATTTTCTTGGTCAAGATTCAAGCTTCTTGACCGATTTCCGTGTTACTCAGTGCCCGGTTTGAAGCCGTGAGATACCGGATACGCAACAGGAGACAATAAATCAGAGCATAAATGGCTTGTTCAAAGCTGTAGAGAGGGCTGGTATGAAGTCTAGGTTTGAACCTCTACCTCTGTCCCTAGTGCTTCTGGTGCTTCTTGCCTTTCATTTCACAGGTGAAGCCAGAAAGACAATATTTCAGTTCCCAGTGATGATGGGGTGTAATTATTTCCTCTACCATCATGCTCACAAGCCCTCCCCATGAACCCATTTTCCTGAGTGCCCATGTCCTTCCAAGGTTCTTCTAGGGGTTAAGAAGGTACATGGTGCTATTGCATAAATATGAGATAGGTTTTCTTATAATGCTTTTAAAACTGTTCTCATACAGCAGCCAGAGTGAAGGCCCTAGAGAACCTTCTGGTCCTCTTTCTAGAGGCTAATTTCTGAGGATTAATGCTAGAGGGATTGAGAGGATTAATTTAATAAATTCACAAGAGTTCTCACTGTGAGGTTTATGTCTGTTGTATCTTTACCCTTCAGAAAACATCAGGACTCCAAAAAAGAAGAAGAGAAAAAGAAGCCACACATAAAGAAACCTCTTAATGCATTTATGTTGTATATGAAGGAAATGAGAGCAAAAGTTGTAGCAGAATGCACATTGAAAGAGAGCGCAGCCATCAACCAAATCCTCGGTCGAAGGGTAGGTAACAAGGGAGAAGCACAAGCAGGACTGAAACTCGGTAGGATTCACACCTGCAGAGAAGGGGAGTTGCATCCTTCTGAATCACTGTGTTCTCCTGTTCTTTTGATAATGGATAGGGAAGTAACTAAGCCAAAGGCCTTTTGTTTTTTGTTTTTGCAGACGCTTTCTGCCATTGGGGTCATTCACAAGGAAAAGGGGGAGTTAATTAATAGCAGTGTTATTTCAATATTATTTCCATCACCTGGAGATGGAAAAATCTCAAATTTCTTATTTTGTCCTAGAAACAGGCAGGAAAGTAAATGGGGAAGGAAAAAGCCTTTGGGAAGTACAGTACCAGTATCGGCACCTGTGAGAGCCAGGAGAGGAGAGGGGGTGCCAGTGGGGAAGGGAGGGGGAGACCTTCTGTAAATCTGTAACTGAGATCTGGCTCACGACAAGTAGTTCAGCTTCTGGACCCTCTCCCCTGCTCTTTGTTTTTGTTTAGTTTTCTTAATTCTCCTCTCATCAGGAGACAAAGGGGCTGAGTGAACGTAAATTATAAGTTGTGACTCAGTTGAGTTTACTGGAGTTATAATCTGGAGTTATAAATAAAATATGAATGGTAGCGTGCCAGATCATCTGTTTTTATCTCTTCTTTTATGAAAATCAACTCTCGCTGTATTTATATATAAATAATATACTCTGCTGTTAACGTGCTTAAAAAAAAACGCTTGTGCTTTTTATTTTGTCTTTTTCCTTTTTCTTCACCTCAGTGGCACGCATTATCCAGAGAAGAACAAGCGAAATACTATGAACTAGCAAGAAAGGAACGACAGCTTCATATGCAGCTGTACCCGGGCTGGTCCGCACGGGATAACTATGTAGGTTCCTATGTAGGTGGAAATTTTTTTAGTAGTAGAGCTTGTAGAAATGTATATGTGACCTGCCGAACTACGACCACACATTGCACACAAGCACTACTTGGAAAGCGTGCCTCAGGATCCCAATCTGGTAACAACAACGGACGCTTCCCTCTGCGATACTAAAACTATTGGGGATAATTCCCAGCCCTCCACTTGGAAGAGGCTTCCTGGCTGGGACTAGTAAAAGGTTAGAATTGGGGCATGACAGTAGAGCTCTGTGAAGAAACTCTTGCCTTCACTTTTACCAGCGTCTGGAAACGCTGTTTGGCTTGCTGGTCATTTTAAATTTCATTTTTTAAAACAAAACTAAAAATTCCCCTAGTATGGCTCCTCTCCTTTCCACCAAAAAGATGAATAATTAGTGTCTTGTGCTTATCTGTGTGAGAGTATAGTGGAAAGTGGAAGAATGACTTATCCTGGCTTCAGAGAAGGACTGGCAAAACCAAAAGCGTGACTTGTTTGAAAGTCTTACTCTCAAGTGGGGTTAAATGAATTATTCCACGCTCTACTGTTGTATATTTTGATTATGTTTTGCTTTTTCATGGCCATGTTATCTTCCCCCCTCCCCCCTCATTTTTTAAAAAGTGTTTTGGAGTTTGTGATCAATTCATGGAGTGTGTTTAAGATTGATTTTCCCCTCCACCTTTCAGAAAGCCTGTTTTGTAGCTAGAAGTGGTAGAATTTTCTGTCTGTTAAAAACATAAGGCCAGCGTTGTAACCACTTACTAGTAATATATAACCCCTTCTTCCATGAAGGGTAAGCGGTGCATCTGGTAGTAAGTGTTTGCAAGCCTAAACCCATAAATTCTTGACAGATTTGTGGATTGGTGGGAGCTCTTAACCCTCTTTAATAGGATTATAGCAGCATCTTGATTATTTTTTCTAATTTAAATAAATTTTAATTTAAATAAAAATCACCTAAAACTTTCAAGGTGTCTAACTCTGGAATAAACCATGCTCCCTACCTTCCAGGCAGACCTCCCTGCAGGTCTGGGGACCAGCAGCTGTAAGATTGATGTCAGTTATGTATAGTGTTACACATTTTGTTTTTGTTGAAGTTTGTCTCTTCCGTCATCATCATCATCACTGCCTATTTTACCGTAAATATCCTGTTTTGCCATAAATCACATAAACTGTGTAGTTTGTATATGGCAATGTTTACCTCTATGAGAATCTGTGTTTTTATGTGTACGGATGGGAAGAAGCCAGTTCAGAGTTTGCAACGAAGCCGAGAGCAGCAGCAGCTCTCTATGCTCTTCCACTGCTTCGGCAGTAGAGAATACACATGCTCACTTATTTAGCAAAATGTAGTTAAGGACATTTTTTCAAATCCTTCTGCTCTTTCTTGATCATCATTTCTTTCCGTTGGGCTCTGCCTCGCTTCCTCCTTTGTTCGCCATTGCAGGTGTAGCTGTGCATGCTCCTCAGAGGAGACCTCGTTAAGCCCAATGAGGCACTGCTCCTGCTTAAACACATTTTCCTTTTTCGGCATAGTCTGGTCTGAGACTGTCAGACCGTAGGCTTGAGGTAGTTCCTCAGCACTGTGCAGTATCGTCTTCTTGGGTGTTCAAAAGGGAGTATAGGCTCGACTGAGGTTTCGGGAATGCTCATTCTGCGCAGTGACTGTGCCACCGACAGATGGGCATGTACAAAGCCTTCAGTGTTTAGGACCTTTTACTTTTGTCCTCACCGTGTGAGCACTGAGAAACCCTTTCTTCTCAAGCTAAAAAGGACAGGATGAGAAAGCCGGCGCTTTCCCAGCGGCTTGATGCTGTAGCCCCAAGTGACCTTCAGGGGGAACCTTCCTGCCTGAGGAGAGCGCGGTACCTTTGCATCACACGATCGCATCATCCGCAGGATTTATTTATTTCTCCTCTCCTGGTCCATTCGGAGCTCTCCAAGTTCCCCTCCTCCCTCAGCATTTTGTAGGGTCTCGAGCCCTTCACACATCTAGAAGGGTAGCACGTTTGCACTGCTTGAAACGGTTAAATTGTTAGGCATCTCACATCAGGCGAGGAAGAGGCCAGCTGTAGCCCAGGTCTTCAGAAATAGGAGCAGTACATCAAGAAACGCAGCTTTCAGCCTGCTCTTAAATAAGAGAAGAGGATTCAGGGAATCCCTCGTGGCTTGTAGGTGTCACAAGGCACATTTGCTCTTCCTGAGATCTAATATAAGATGTTAAGCAGCACTGAGTGCTGGACTTAGAAGTATGTAAGGGTCTAGTCATCTCACCTGCTGCTTGTCTAGAAAATTAGTACCAAAGAACTCCACAGTCCTGTCAAAACCCATGTTGGTTTGGCTATGTAGAGGGAGCTGCCAAACGGTTAGCAAGTATTTACATCCACCTTTACTTGCAGCCTAAGAATTTGTATAGTACGGTGATGGAAAATGTTGCAGACCATCTGCTCAAGTCTTAGGAGGACAATTGGAGGCAAAGGCAAAACGGTGTCTTCTGCAGAACACTTGAAAAGCTGCTGCCGTAATTCTTTTCTTAAGTCCGTGTATTAATTTAGCTACGTAATCAAATATCTTCTTGTAGCACAGAAATTGAACAGGGAAGCCAGGTGATTCTTCTCCCTATTTTCTCTGGCAAGGGTGTAAAAGGAGTTAGTGGGACCTCTGTCAGTTCTTTGTTAGGAACGGTTTTCAAAGCTTGTGTTGAAAAGGAACCAGAAATTCCTGGTCCCTGGCTGACATTCCTGTATATCAGCCGTTTTTAACAGATTGCTCCCTAAAGGGTTTATAGTGCTTTAATACCTGCCTTGAAGAGTTTGTAAAGGGCAGGTGACTCCTGACCTCTGTTCTGGCTGGCCCTTGTGTGAAGAAGTTATAAGGTCTCAAATTGGAATAGCCCTTGAATTCCCAAATGTACTGCAAAAATTAAGCAAATTTGCCACAAGGTGCAAATTGTTAATTATGCAAGTGGCCTCCTTGAGGTTAAATAAAAATCAGGCTTACAGTCCTGAGGCAATTGTCTGGTTTCGGTTACGTTGTTGTAAACCTGGAAAAAATTCACCCACTCTCACAGAGTTACTGTCAATCTAGATCAATGTAGATGGAGCAGCCTGAGCCCCTTGTATCTTTATGTGATACGTGGACTTCAAGATACCACGTTTTTCCCTATTTTATTCTCAGGGAGCTTTAGGAGCAATGCTTGTCTATCTTGTCTGCCTGTCATGTTAGGCTGTTGGTTGCTCTAGCAATTGACTCAGAGCAACAACTTTCCATATCCCCCAAAATGACGTCGGAGGTGTCAGAGGTGATTTCTCAGCAGCATCCAGGCAGCAGGATTATGTGCATGTTGTTTAAAAATCCTTTAAAATTGACCGTGCACACAGCTTTTTCCATCACCAGAAGGCTCTCGTGAACAAGACTCTGCTTGTGGCAGCCTGGACAGCAGGGTGGCAGTTTACAACCCTGAGCAAGCAAGGGGGAATGAGTACAGAAGCCCCGTGCCAGAAAGCCAGCTTTTGGGGCAGAAAAATATGACAACAACAACAAATTGAAATCCAACATTTGTGTTGGGGGAATTTTTTACCAATACCTTCCAGGGAACTTATCATAGTGAGCGTCCTCAATGTTATAGTGGATGTCCCAAGCTGAAGCCCAATCTTAACCATTTAGTTGGGAGCCAGACCAGTCTACTGAGAAAGATGTCCGCCACGTGGGAGAGCTTCTTGGCTTCCCCACAGATACGTCCAGCCCTTCAAAAGTGCTGAGATTCCTTCTTCCGAGGCATGTTTGTTCTTTTGACCACAAGGGCCTGCTGGCCTGGTGTCTTTTCACCAACTTCTCTTAGTACCACATCTTCAAAAGCAAGGATCTCTGTGCTGTTCACAGTTGACATTGCTGGCCCGAAAGTCATTGCTTTTAGCATCTGGGGAGCTGTGAAAATTAAATGACTGTCCCCTTGCACTGGCCTTTTTGTGCTGCTCTCCAAACCCTGTAGCTCAGTGCTGGGAAAGCTTTCTTAGAAAATCGCTTTTCTCTTTTGAGCCATGCTTATTACTTTGTAACTCTTCTCCTGGAAAACGATCGTTGGGTTTCCACAGAAGTCGGGCTCCTGGTCATGTCCTCTCCCACACTGCTGGAGGGAAATGGAGAAAGGGCCTTTCTCCCTCCAGTCAGAAACAAATTGCATCATCTTGTGGGACAGTATTTGGGAAAGGGACGCAGTTTAGCAAAACATTACTGGTGATTTTTTTCTTGTGATAAGAGCAAAATGTGAGAAGGGTCTTAGTTATATCTGGATTTTTTTCTCTTCCTGGCTTTGCTTCCTAAGTTGTCAGTGCACTTACAAACCCTGCAGGTTAGGTTTTGCTCGTTACTGTGGCTTCCTCGTCTGCTTTAACGGCTGGTTTTGGGTGCTGAGGAACTCCAGGGGCTCAATCTGACCTCACTCATGGACTCTTCCACCTTGAATCTCCGCCGTTGCCCCTTCTTCCCCTCCCCACCCCAAAGAAACGTGACCAGGAATGATTTTTTTGAAGCAGGAGCATACAAGTGTCAATGTTTCTGTCGTGATGATAATCTTATCTCGAAAGAAGCATCCTGCAAGTCATTCTTCCCCCTCCCTAGCTGCTTATGGCTTTGGTGGTTGTTAGCGTTGAGGGGGGCTGCAGCGAGGCTGTCCAAAAAGGCAGGGGGTGGGCAGGCAGAGCCGTCCCCGGGGTGCGAGCATCCCCTCAGGGCCCCCCAAGCCTCCCTGCACCGGGAGCGAGCTGGCACTGCGCTTCGGTGTCCTCCCCAGGGAGCCTCCCGCACCGGCCGCAGCCCCATCGCTCAGTGCTGTCTTGCAAGGAGACATGTTTTGGGGTTTTTTTAATCCTTCTCATTTGTGTATGTTTCCTGCAGGGAAAGAAGAAGAAGAGGAAAAGGGATAAGCAGCCAGGAGAGACCAATGGTAAGTAAAAATAAGTCTAAATCTCTTGCTTAGTGGAAGTGTGGCAATCCTGGTGTGACGCTCCTAGGTACGGGGGAGGTGGGTACAAGTCTCCTGGCCTCACGGGGAGCCGGTCCCAATATTAGGCAACCTTTTTTTTTTAATGCAATCTAATTATTTACGCATTATTGCCCTTCTAAAACTAGTAATCAAGCCATTGCATGTAAGAGCCTCATGTGACGTTAGCTGAATTTGTACGTAATAATTGCAAAGCCTTTAACTGCAGAGACGTAGTTGTAATGCCTATGCCATCGTTTATAAAGTTGTCTGCTTATTTTGCGCATATGTGTGTGCGTGTACGTACGTATGTATGTGTTTGGTATTAATTTGGGCTGTACCTGTATGTTCTGATGCATGCCTTACAGTGGTAAATCGCACCCATTTTAAATTAAGGAGGTTTGCCATTCTATATAGGAAATTAGAAATACTGCATAGGCAATCTCATAGTCAATTTTGAAGAAGCCCTGACTTAGTTTTTTTGAAGCCTTTGTATAATTTGTTCTTTTTTTTCAGAACACAGCGAATGTTTCCTAAATCCTTGCCTTTCACTTCCTCCGATTACAGGTGCTACCGTCATTTTGAGTCATTTAAAATA